GGGTGTCAAGTTGTCAAGGGCAGTCCGAAGTCGGGACCAGAACATTACTATGTCATGCCCCAACGTGACGCATGATGCATTTCACAAGCAAGGGTTGCAACAGCATGATCATGGGCCCATTTACATAATGCATCAGCTGGCAGGGGTGCCACCATGCAATCATACCACGCAGTCGCGTGAAGTACCCGTGAAGTACGCGTGAATTACTTAGTTTACCCGTGAATTACCAAGTTTACCCGTGAAGTTTCATGAAGTAGGCTCCCCATGTCAGTTTCAATGCCATGAGCGAGGGAAAAACACCATGAGCTTGATCTTCTGTCTTTGGTTTGTAAAAGACGCACACACGCACCCGGCCCGAAAGGGAGCGACCCAAAACCGCAGCCTCCCGTCGCGCTTTCCCACACAGATTTCCAGTTTTCCAGCTGCTGCATCCTGCAACATGGTCCAACACAGTTTGTAAAAGAAGCACACACGCACCCGGCCTGACAGGGAGCGACCCTAAACCTCAGCCTCCCGGCCAAGATCTTGGCCTAAATTGAGCCCAATCGCAATTCCCCACACAGATTTCCAGTTTTCCAGCTGCTGCGTTCCTCAACATGGTCCAACACAGTTCATATAAGAAGCATACACGCACCCGGAGCGATGGGGGGGCGAACCAAAACCTCACGCAAATCACCACTATGCCCAACAAATCTATGCACCGCCGGTCCTTGATCTGCAAAATGTCCGTGATGGTGTTGCGTGGCACACCCTGGAGGCCAAGCTAGCACAAGCATTTTGGTCATCAAGCACAGCGAGCTGTGGTTGCACTTGCTGTCCGCTTTGGCCTAAGCAAACCATTTTAAGAAGACTTACCCCTTAAAACTCCAAGGGTTGGGGAAGTTAATCTTTTACCGACATATAGCCCATGTTACCCAAAAAGTTGAAAAGTTGTGTCTTTAAGAGGCAAGAGATCTGCAGATCTGCCAACCTCAAGCTCAGGGCTTTTGCGCCATTGATCACAGGGCTCGGCGTCAAAGTTGATGTTCCGGATCCAGCAGCTCCCATCTTGCACAGCCTTTGCGGATCCTCGCACAGCGCCCAGTGCATACACCGCAGCATCTTGCACAACCAATCGACACCGAAGCCTGCGCCTAGTCTGACTTTGTTGCTGGCGTACGAAGCAAATCAAGGCAACGCATCAAAGCTCAGCACACATGGCTCAACATGCATCATGCTTATGATGCAAAAGGACATGCGTAGTCAAAAGAAAGAGCCCCCGACCAAGTCAAGGCCAGTCGCAAAGGGAGTCTTTGCAGAGCAACTGGGGGAGCTGCCTGGCTAGAGCGGCTGCAACTTGTGTCACATTGTTTGGTTGAAGTCACTAAGAAGCACACAAACACTACGGGAATTTCGGCGGATTAACTGAACGCGCCGCTTTGACATAGCTTCACCAACTCGCTGTCCAGTCATTGCGCTTATAGCAGGCTCGTAAAGGGTGCTGCCGGTCGCTACGGGAGCAAAAGGCTATTTGGTCGAAAACATGGCCGCAAAGATCTCAACCGAAAGCTATGCGGCATGCTTGTGCTTTCAGAAGGGTTCGCTCAGGCAAACAAGTGCTCGAACGCACACAAAAGAGTTACAGGTGGACCTCCTTCTATGTCTTCGCGCGCTGCGTTTGTTCAGCGAATGGGCTTCAGCTGGCTCAATCATCGTACCTGGAAAGGGCAACTTACACAATGAGCCATTGAACATCAGCAAGCAATCGTATTGGCAACTTCCAATGCATAGCCATGCCTCGGTCAGCAGTTGTGCCCTGCATTGCATACAAAGAACAAGTAGATGCAGGCGTGAAGGATGCCCTACCCGGTCATCTGCAAGGAAACGAAGTGCCAAGAACGCTTCAAAGGCTTCACCGCAAAGACGCCAGCCGTTTCGACAAGCGCTGCCTTCGCAAAAGGCGAGCACATGGTCCTGACAGCCTTTCGGCGGCCAAAGTTTGTAGTCATTGTTGTCTACTTTGATGTACACACAGAAAGGCGAATGACGTAAAACTACGTCTCCTGGGCGGCTGCACGCGCGAGCGTCTTCTGGGTGCAAGTCATGGCCATCTACCGTGCCTGCAACATCTTGGGCTACAACTGGAGGCACGGATGTTGTAAACAATTTTTTCAGCAAGCAGACGCTCGGATTTTATGGTGGTATGAACGTGATCAACCTGCAGCGTTTCACGCAGCAACTCTGGTGGGCAATGTTTTTTCGGAGTGTCACAAGCTGGGACATAAAGCAATTGTTTGTTATCGCGGCAGGCGTCAGCTTGAGCTCGAAGAAAGGATGCCATGGCAAACAAGGACCATGTGTAGGCAACATGGACCATCCCATCCATGAGTTTCTTCAACTAAATTGGCCGCAGAAAAGGGTGAGCTGCTCAAGTCTACCTCTGCGGCTTGCAGCGCCTGCCATTGTCCCGGACGCAAATTGCGGCCACTAGGCTGCCTCATTGCGTCCAAAATGGCTATCGAATTTCGATCTTTAAAACGTCTCGCAGTCTTGAACATGTTTTCACTTCGGCCAAACCTTGCTGCTCCTGCCTGAGTGCTCAACACGCTTTCCAAGCAGGATGAAAAAAGAGTCTTTCCGGTTCACTTTGAGTAGGGAAGAGACAAGGTTTGTAAACGCGTGCGTCGCTGCAATGCCCGCGGCCTCGGCACTGTAGCGGATGAAAAACATAAGCCTGTGCGCGGCATGATCCTCACCATCGTTGTCGTCTATATCCGGGCACTTGTGGCCAACCAGCCGCGGTAAACACAAGCGCCGTTGGATTCCTTGACTCTGACTGCGCGTCTGATTTCAAGACACGCTGTACACGAGACTGGTAAAAGAAAAACGGCAAGTCGATTAAGAATTCCCCTTGGTGAAGATAGTCGTCAAACTGACCGTGTGTTGTCGAAACGGCTCAATCTTGGCGGTACTAAACAACCACATAACCAAACACAAACGAACAAATTAACAAAACAACGCAAAACAAACAAACAAACGCGCAACACAAAAAAATAAACCAAACAAACAAACAAACAAAGAAAGAAACAAACAAACAACAAAGCAGGCAGGCAGGCAGGCAGGCAGGCAGGCAGGCAGGCAGGCAGGCAGCGCAGGGCAGGGCAGGGCAGGGCAGGGCAGGGCAGGGCAGGGCAGGTAGGGCAGGCAAGCAAGCAAGCAAGCAAGACACAGACAGAAACAAACACAAACACAAACACAAACACAAACACAAGCACAAACACAAACACAAACAGACACAAACACAAACAGACACAAACACAAAAAACCAAACTAACAACAAAACAAACAAACACACACACACAAACTTACAGACTCACAAGCACACACACAAACACACACGAACAAACTCACAAACACACAAGCACGAACACGCACACTCACACGCACCCGCACACACACAGACACACGGACACACAGACACAGACACACACACACACAAACACACACGAACACGCAAACACACACACACACACACAAACACACACGAACAAACTCACAAACACACAAACACGAACACGCACACTCACACGCACCCGCACACAGACACACAAACACACACAGACACACAGACACACACACACACACAAACACACGAACACACAAACACAAACACACACACACACACACCCTTACACACACACACACACACACGCATACACACACACACACACACACGCACCCACACACACACACACACACACACGCACACGCACACGCACACGCACACACACACACACACGCAAACACACACACAAACACACACACACACACACACACACAGCGCACGCGCACGCGCACGCGCACGCACACGCACACGCACACGCACACGCACCCGCACGCGCACGCGCACGCGCACGCGCACGCGCACACGCACGCGCACGCACCCGCACACGCACCCGCACACGCACCCGCACGCGCACGCGCACGCGCACGCGCACGCGCACACACACGCACACACACGCAAACACACACACACACAGGCACACACACACACACACGCAAACACACACACACATACACACAAACACACACACACAAACACACACACACACACACACACAGACACACGAACACGCAAACACACACACACACAAACACACACGAACAAACCCACAAACACACAAACACGAACACGCACACTCACACGCACCCGCACACACAGACACACAAACACACACACACAGACACACACACACACAAACACACGAACACACAAACACACACAAACTCACAATCACAAACACACACACACACAAACACACACAAACACAAACTCACACACAGAAACACAAACACAAACACAAACACACAAACACACACACAATCGCGCGTACACACAAACACCCCAACACACCAACACACACACACAACAAGACACACTCACACATAGACACACACACACAAACGCCACACACACACACACACACGCAAACACACAATACACACAAACACACAATACACACACACACACGCAAACACAAACACACACACACACACACACGCAAACACACACGCACACACAAACACACACACACACACACAAACGCACACACAGAAACACAAACACAAACACAAACACACAAACACACACACACACACACACACACAATCGCGCGCACACACAAACACCCCAACACACCAACACACACACACACAACAAGACACACTCACACATAGACACAGACACACAAACACCACACACCACACACACACACAAACACGCGCGCAAACGCATGTCTCTTCCTCATCCATACAAAGTGTGTTTGTGACAATCCGTGGTTTCGCATAGTCCGATTCGTTCCACAAGATGCCCCATGCTGCGTCCGTTTCCGAGGTGTGCATCTTTTGGGGTCTGAAAAAAGACACACACACACACACGGGCATGCGTTAATATCGGGGACCATTCAGACAAAATTCGGGGGATTCGTGTCCAGCACTTCTCAGGTTCCCTACAGGCAGTCCTTCTCCAGGACTGTGGCCTGCCACGTGGTCGAAACTCATGGCCATGGTCATTCCCTTAAGAATCCTTACTGAATCCTTGCTGAATCCTTACTGAATCCTTATGGTTGTCTACATGCCTCAAGGGGTCAGTGACCACACCTACGCCAAATAAATGCGGCAAAATAAGCTTCGCGGCCATCCCGAACAACAACAGGGAATTTCAATTTGGAAGTTGGACCCCTATTGTAGGCACTCGTAAACGGCAGAACTCGGCTGGGCCTTTGAACCAAACTCCAAGGTTGACCTGTGGTGGCTCAGCTCCCTGGCACACCCGTGCAAACATGTTCCCTCCTAGAGGTTCTCCTGTACGCCTGGGCACTAAATAATGGGAGCGACGTCTGGCCACACAAAACAATACAAAACATCTGCCCCCTTCTGACTCAGATAACTTTGGGGAACCAACGTGTAAAACTCTGAAAGCTAATGCACCCAGAGTTGCTGGAGCTCAACAACAAGTGCTCAAGCCGGCCCAAAACAGACAGCATCAAACAAACACGCACGGGTCCCCCATTGTCGAAGCAAGTGCTTTCCAACCCTTCTGCTTTCAGGGCCACAAGCAATCCAACCAATCGGTCAGAGGCTATGCTACCGTTCACGGAACGAAATATGGGGTCCTTGACCATGTTCGCTTTTTCAAGATCATCCTGCCTAAACGGACCTCGGTCAAAGATGGCTAACTGAGAAAACAGTCTCCTGTGCTTGACTCCACTGTCGGATTCTGGCTCCATGGGACCGATCCCTCTGTTCGCCGTCCCAGATCTCACTTAGATTCCACAAATGGTTCTAACCCCAGTTTCCAACGACCATGCCTTCGTGAGGGTTCACTTACTGGAGAAGGCCCCACTTCGCCGTCAACAAGCTCCACGCCTCGACGTCGACGTCATCGAGGTCCTGCGAACAGCCCGGGGAACCCAAAGCCCAACCGCCCGACGTGGATCTGCGGGGCCCCACTTTTGTCCCAAGGGTGGAGCTCTGCTCAAAAAGCAAGGCAACACCCAGGCGGCGGCTGTCAAATAGCACCCAAAAAGGCTAACAAGGCCAACTGCACAAACCATTTGCAAGCCGTTGCCGGATTTTGGACATAGCTGGGTCATGTACAGTGTAGCTCTTGGATTGTACGACTACCATTCAACCTCGCCACCTGAACCTACTCTCACAGAACAACAGCCCTGCATCCAAATTCGTCCATACATCGAGACTGTGGAGCTGGGGAAACAACCCCCACCCAAACCGGGCATTTCCGTGTGGCTTCCCATTGAGCCACCAACCAAAGGAAGCTCCAAATTATATCATCTTGTAACATACACTGTTCATTACCTCCCCAACTGTGGAGTGGGGAGAAAACCTGAATTGTGGGTAAGTTGGTGACTATTGACTATTGACTATTGACCGCTTCTTGAATCTCCAACCGAATTTGGTGTGACAAGTTGGCCAGCACACCGCGGTAAACTCAAGAAGAGTCAAGGCGAAAACTACTTGGAGTTGTACACGTCTTGCCTGCTATAAGCAAACCCCCAATGTGCCTGCCAGCCATGGCTAAGAGTAAACAAAACGGGTGTTGCCCCCCACCCCCCACCCAAAAACAACTTGACAAAATGATTTGTGTCCGCTTGGTTGTGCTTCTGGTTTCACGGCTGATCAAGTGTGTAACCATTGGATGCCGAAGGGGCATCGTGCCAATAATACATTGGAAAGGGGGTGATATCGGGGACATCTATCTATCTATCTAGATACTTGACCAGACTTAGACCCCATGCAGCATGCACACAGTTGGCAGTTTGCTGGTTGAGCTGATTGAAGTGCAAAACAAGCAAACACCAAAAGGGCAAAAAATCAAACAGTTGATGAAGCCTGGCAATGCCAAATACACCCGTGTTTGTCATGGCCATCGATGGCACAAACATTGCTCTCACCGCGCTGTCAACTGCAGGCACCGGTGAGGGCCAGTGACAGGTTTCGGGGATGGTAAAGCACTTGTTAGGGTTGTAGGAGGGTAACGCGTAGTCCATAGTGTGACGCGACTACTGCAAGGGATGCCACTAGCAACTTGGCAACTCCTGCAAGACATGGTTGTTGAAAGAACGATTGCCAACATGGTTGAGCATCGCTTCAATTGGGATTGATCTTTGAGGAATTGTCTCTTTTGGGATGGATCTCTGTCCAATTCCATTGTCAGAAGGGTGGGCAACAAGCTGGGGGCATGTTGCGTGCTTGCCAGCTTCAGACTTCTGGCTGAAGCGTGTTGCACTACCAAATCTGGGACTTGTTTGTAACATTTACTAAAGGAAAACAGCTGGCCCCAAAACAACAAGTTCACCAGCAACTCTGGCCTCCCAAACCAACAACCGGCTTCCCCACCTCCACAGACACGGCTTTCAGCTTCTCTGGTGCCTCCGGTGTGGAGGGATTGACTAGAGGAACCCCCTCGACCTGGGTGCTGAGGGGTTTGAGGGGGAAAAAAAACATCCCCTTTGGTTTCCTCGGGAAAGTCGCTATTGTGTGCTAGGCGCAATGGCTGCGCATTGTGCTCAGGCACCAGAATAACTTAAAACAAACGCTGGTGCAAGCAACACAAGTACAGAGGCAGAAGCACGACAACTCACAAACAAACCAAGTACAAGTAATGTCTCAAACATGTAAGCTCTCCAATTGGTCGAAGAGTTTCGTGTGTCCGCTTTTTCGAGGGCGCCCTGTTCACCCCTGGTCGGAAGGGAGGCCAAAAGGAGAACCATCATTTTTGGGATCCTTGTATTTGACGAATCTCCACCTCCTATACGTCACGGCCCTACCTCGTCTGGGGCACGTTTTGCACCTAAATCAGTATGCTACCCAACAGAATAGATCGCCCGGCCTTTGCGGCAGTCTTCTGCAAATAAAGGCAGTCGTTCATATATAAATCTTAAGTAGGGACCCGACCCTTTGGTGGACGTCATTTCCCCAGACCCCCATGAGCCATGGGCAAAAAGGCTCTCGTTTCGTCGTTGATGTTGAAAGGGCCCACACCTTTCCGGAAAAAAGAAGAAGAAACGCGACAAGGGCAGCACAGGAGGCCTGGATTCACATGGGGAGTCAAGTCCACCAACCATTTCAGATGTCCAGCCATAGCTCCTGGCCCAAATCCCCCAATCCCTCTGGCCTCCGGAGGCGCGGTTGGCTTTGGCGCCTGGAGACAGTTTTTTCTTAAAGGGAAACAACAAGTAAACAAGAAGCAGGCGTGCAAACAATTGAAGGCTTGCTAAACAAAAGTTGGGGATTCTCAGTCCGGTCTTAATTCAAATGAGTATCACCACCACCATCAGAAAGAAAGACATATTTCAGCGGCGCTATGGGGCACTTCTTGATCTGTGCAGGCTCGGAGTTGCTCAATGTGGCAGCACCAGTTCAAGGCTCCCAAGACAAGGCGCCGACACAGGCACCTCAACACGGGTTCTGACCCAGGGTTGTCCTTCTGACACCTGCGAGAAGTTTGACATACCTCTAGAGGGGGGGGGGGGCATCCAACTTCCGCACAAAGCTTTCGGAATCAAGAGCTGCCAACTGGGTCTTTTGACCATAGCGCAAGTTCTTCTGGAAGATCAAACTGGGTTGGTCTTCGACCCAGCTCAATAAGTTGGAGGTTTGCTGCTGAGTAGTAGAAATGGTCCCAAATGTTTGGATATCGATGTAGGTTTACCTCCATTTGCACCATGGCCCGCATGTCTGCTTCTGTTTGAGGATGTTGGCCAAACAAACACGCACGCAGGGCTGGACAGTCATTGTATTATTCTGGGTTGCTTGTCAGAAAAAGGCACTTCCCAGCCCCTGGTATGACAGGAAAGCGCTTTTTGCACCCCCCCCCCCGCATTCAACAGATAACCAACACACGCCAAGAACAGTGCAAAGCAAACTCCGGTTACGCGGCGGGGCAGGGATTGAGGGTCTGTAGCAAACGCAATGTGACCCGCAGCTGCCGGGCAGCACAATTCCAATATAACATTAACACAAGAAAAATATGGGTCACCTCTCGAATTGAGGAAACCCCCGCAAAATGGGTGTCGCCCTTTTGTCACTCACCCTCAACAAACAGTTACAAAAAGTTCCGCCAATAAGTAGCACTGCCTGGCAGAAATGAAACTAATTAACTATCTTGATCACTCTTATATATATATATATTATACATATATATATATATATACATATGTGTACTATATGCACATGAATATATAAAGATTCCCTGAAGTATGTCGTTCAACAACTGAGGACGACTGGCCAACGCATCTGCAAAGGCGGGTAACATAGAAAGCCTCTAGCTCCTCACCCTTCTGTTTCATTCAGCCAAAGCATCAGAACCTTACAATCACACGTGGTGACCTTTCAACAGCTACACATGTCACCATGATTGAATTTGCAAAGGCTAGTGCCAACCTCGAAACACGTGAAACACCGCCCCTCGCATTCCCGCCTCTGCCGTCTTCGCCTGCTTAGGCAAACCTCTTGTGAGGTGCTCCAACTGCCAAGGCCCAGGTTGCTGGAAATCTTCTCGCGGCGCGCGAAGATGCTAGTCAGAAGTGGGTGCATCTCTATTGCTGGTAACCTTTGCTGTTTGTTTCTTAGGGAAACCATCTTTTCCAAAGCACAACGTCTTTGGAATCCTGAGACAATCCATCCGCTTGTTGGCAAATTTCTTAGGGCTCCGTTGTCTTTTTAAAGCCTAACATGATGATCCGAGTGACGATAAACATATCCTCTCAACTCCAATTTACCGAGCATTCAATGTGCAACGACTGCGCTGCAAACTCACTAACACTGGGAATAACTTTATAAGCTGAAGGAAGGACCATAAGTTGCTGCAGCTGTTCCCTAGGCGTCATAGTCGTCTGCGCAAGCATTCTGCAAACATGTTGCTGAACGTTGAGTTTGAGAAAACCACGTGTTCAACCCCTTGTGGCTGCGGCAAATTAACAGTCATGGCGTTGTTGGCACCTAGTGGACGCCAGCGTCTTGAGATTTGGCCTTCTGGAACATCACGGCGTAATTGATCTTAAACTCACTTCCTGAGTAGATTGCAAAAGCAACTCCGCACCTGGTGGTTGCCACTAAAACCGTCTGCCAATAAAGCATAAAGTCTAGGAACTGGGAATGAGTAAAGCTGTTTTGCGTCAGGCACAGGTCAAGCAGATGCGGAGATCATACGTAAATTGTTTGCAGTACTGATTATTGTTTGCTGATGAAAAACGATTGGAGATGAGTGAAGCTGCCCTGCAAATGTCGCTCAACATTTTGCCGTGTGAAACATTGCAGTGTGGCGGGCTTGCTTGCCTGCTTGCTTGCTCGCTTGCTTGCCTGCTTTCTTGCTTGCTCGCTGGCCCTGTTTTTCTCTGTAGTAAGGCGGAGCACCATTTCCGGCTTCGATATATTTGACAAATTTGCCGTGTCTTCCACCAAACTCCTCTGCCGGCTAGTAGGTCACTTCAATCTCCGTTTCTCCTGGTCCTCGAATCTGAACCAAGGTTTTTTTTTGTGGCAAATGCTCCCCTATTTTTTGACACAACACTCTACACCAATCTTTCACAGGGCAACCAAACGCCATACCGATAGGGAAAACCCATTGCTTTTTGTCTCCCAGCGCCTTGGCTTCAGCCGCTTTCTTTGCCTCACCATGGAGACAAGGTGGCCCTGACTGCCATCAGAACCTCTAAGTAAGTATTCAGCTATGGGACTTCCGACTGGATGCTGCAAGTGCTTGCAACATCCTCTTGGTAGTATATCGAGGTTCTAGACAATATGGAGCTATCCATCACTTTGCGAGTGCCGTGGCACTCAGTCTTCTATCTGCCTGGTGCTTTGACCCACTTGTGTGCTCGTAGGGCGGCTCGCAATCAGGTTCTTTAAAAGGGTGCACATCCAAACAAACACAGCTCCCACCACGGAAACCCTTGAACTAGCTGGTCAATAGTTGTTTGTTCAATTCATTATTCTAGGAACTGCAAGTTTGTTGGAAACAACCCTTCTGTGATACCAGGTGGTTGAATCTCCCTGCCATTCCCTTCATGAACAATGAGACATGCTGGCCCTGCTCGGGGCAACTTGCGTCAGAGAGCAGGACAATTGCAGGAATCGAAAGTGTTCCCCAGAAATCCAACAAGCCAAACTCACACATTGATCATAACCCACCAAGCCTCTGCGCAAAGTATTATAGTCCACGAAGTCAAAGAAAAGGACAAGATCCCCTTAGAGAGATTGAACTTGACCTCCGTGATCTGGCTAGAATTTATGCAGGTTCGTCCGGCACCGCATCAGAATGCAAGCTACCCAATCTTCTGCTGCACATTGTAGAAGCCTATCCACAAGACATCTGCAAAGACCTCACACACACACACACACGATGCTGGGCAAATAGCTAGAATTCTCAAACCGGAAGAAAAGGAACCCCAAAGTAAAGGACTTTCATCGCGGGCAAGGTTGTTATACCCCGTTCGGTGAGCTCACAAAAACTTCCGACGCAACATCGTTCCTGAGTTCGAACAAAAACAACCATGAACACGCAAACTGGCTACCTGCCTAGATTTTGAGGAAGTTTAAGACTTCCTCAAAGGGAAATTACGAGCGACCAAGTGCATGTTGCCCAACCTGTTCGAAATGTCTGAATGCCCAGCCATCCAGCGTCCACTGCACACAACCCAGACCTCTGGCGAGGGAGAAAAGGGATTCCTTTTGCGCGGTATGTGATTCAAAAAGACGACCCCGCTCCAGCATGAAACAGAAAAATAGGCAACACGGAGGTCTGTGACAAACAGCACCATTGGCTTGGAACTAAAGACTCGGACCCATGTAAGGGTCCTGAACATCCCACAAAGCTCCTTGCACGTATTTTTTCTCCGAGACAAAGGAAGCATAGCTTTTAATAAAGTGGGCGACCACCAGGTGATATGCGAAATTGGAGAAGCCAGGCAAGGCAACATGGGGTGTCATTTTGGCAGGATGCTTTTCCGGGCTTGACGGAACTCCAAAGGGAATCGTCCCATTGTGGGATCCTACGTTCAGAGACAACCCCGAGGTGCGCGGCATGGTCACGGCTCACTCAATAGGAACCTTTGCTGGCTGTCTAGAGTCCCTAAACCCCCCGTCTGCTTCTCGGCTTCCAAAGCAGAGCGGCATAGGAGCAGCGCGGGATGCAACTTCCTTGCCCTGAACGCCCATCCTGATTTGCAAAGAATGCGGGACGAGCTGCGCTTTCACGCCCCTGGCTGCGCTGTCAGGACCGTCCTGACTTGCCAAGGAAGCAGGACCGGTGCGTTCGCGCCAACACGGAAATAGGATGGTTCACGAGTAGACCGAGCTGTGCTGCTGCAGCCGGTTGTGCATCAGCAAGCAAATTAGGGATTGATGATTCATGATGAAACGTATAGCAAGCTGGGACCCCCGCCTCTGCATTGGCAGCAGCCTGCTTGGCCTCTTCAGTGCCAGCACAAACCAGCGGCAAACAGCGTTCCAACCCCTTGTTTAACCATATTTGCACCGCTACTTCTTGAGCCTCCTCATTTTGGCTTCCCTTCAAAAGGGAGGGGCTGGTGGTCCAAGCACAGCCCTGGTTGCTCCTGAAGAGACTCCCCTGCAGATTCATATGGGGTTCTAAAGAACCGCGCCTTTCAGAAGAATCTCATTTTGGGGGACACGCTGTTTTGACTTCCATTTCCATGCCAATTGGCAGGGGGGCCAACAACCACAAATGAATATCCTCTTCAACTTGGGCTCCTTAGCTTTCCAAAAGCCTTGGGGTTTTCGCATGTCAGTGTCTAGAGAGGGCCCGGTGGAAATTAGGGGCCCTCGACAAGTGCAACTGATGTCGGATGAACCTACTTTGATTCATTGATTAGTTTCTTCCAGGGTGCCATCCGATGCAGACTTTGGCACATTCCCAAGTTTCAAAGGGCTACAGTGCTCCCTCGCCGTCCCTGTTCTTGGGACGTCCCTGTTCTTGGAACAGCAACATTCAACAAACAGTCCCTGGCGCAAAACTGCTGGTCCACCTGTTTGGGCTCGCTTGGAAGGCGGCACAAAAAATGGGCTTTGCTTGAGGGTACTCGGTTTGGCGGGTTATTTCAATCAGGGAACACATGCGTGTTGGTTGTTGTTGCGCTTTTGGCTGGGATTGAAGGGAAACTGAAGGGACCCCATATATATATATATATATATATATGTGTAACGTATATATATATATATTTGTATATGTATTTTATTTGACTTCGTGGATATTAACCACAACACTGCCATACCATGCTCTCTCAATCTATTTGTCCATATTCTTGTATCAGAGTAGATCCCAGGGCCGTGACTAGCGGGTTCCATGAAACCCGTCCCTCTGTTCGCCCTACATTCTCACGTAGCTTATGTTGAATTTTCCGCAGATGGCCCTAACACCCTGGTTTCCGACGACCAACCCGCCAACAAGGCCTTCTTAAGAGAGGGTTCAATTGCTGGAGATGGGAATCCCCAGTTCGCCGTAGGTCCAACTTTTGCGCAAGCTCCGCGCCTCGACGCCGTCATCGAGGTCCTGCGAAAAGCCCACGGGACCAAAAGCCGGACCACCCGACGTGGATCTGCGGGGGTCCGCGGGGGTCCGCGGGGGAACCATGGGGGCTGCGGCCCCACTCTTGTCCCAAAAATGGACATCTGCCCAACACAAACAAGGCAACATCCAGACCGACAAAGGCTGTCAGGGATAAGACCTGATTTGTGGTAATTAAGTTGGTGAGTGTAATCGCATCATCATTGCCTTGACTATTGACCGCTTCTCGAATCCTCCAACCATATTTGGTGTGACAAGTTGGCCAGCACACCGAGGTGAAGGAAACCCAAGAAGCGCCAAGGCGCAAACTACTTGGTAGAGCCATACATAAGTCTGAAAATAATAAGCAAAATCAATGCGCCTGCCAGTCATAGTTAAGAGCAAATGGGTGTTGCACCCTCCGCACAAAAACAAAAGGTTCGTGTCCGCTTGGCTGTCCCTTCTGCATTCACAATCAACTCCGACTGGTCAAGTACGTAACCATTAGATGCCGAAGGGGCACGTGCCAATACTGTACTATATTGGAAAGGGGATGATATCGGGGACACTCGCCGAAGGTCAGCCATTTATCTATCTATCTATCGATCTATCTATCTATCTATCTACTGTCTATCTATCTATCTACTGTCTATCTATCTATCTATCTATCTACCTAGCTATCTATCTATGTATCTGCCTATCTATCTATCTATCTATCTATCTATCGATCTATCGATCTATCTATCTCTATCGATCTATCTATCTCTATATCTCTATCTGTCTGTCTGTCTGTCTGTCTGTCTGTCTGTCTGTCTGTCTGTCTGTCTGTCTGTCTGTCTGTCTGTCTGTTTATTTATGTATCTATCTATCTATCTATCTATCTATCTATCTATCTACTGTCTGTCTCTGTCTCTGTCTCTGTCTCTCTCTCTCTGTCTCTCTCTCTCTGTCTCTGTCTCTGTCTCTGTCTCTGTCTCTGTCTCTGTCTCTGTCTATCTATCTATTTATCTATCTATCTATAGTTGCTTGGCCAGACTTAGATTCCAAAGTTGGCTGTTTGCTGGCTGAGCTGGTTGAAAGGGAAATTAACGGAACACCAAAAGTGCGAATAATCAAATAGTTTGTGACGCCTGGCAATGCCAAATACACCTGATTTTGTCGTGTCCATTGCGGCAGAATCAATGTTCACCGCTCTGCCAACTGCAGGCACTGATGAGGACCAGTGACAGGTTTTGATGATGGTGAGGTTGCTGGGGGGAATCCCTAAACCTAACGCGTAATTCAGAATGGGGCCCGAAGCCACTACCAACCTGGCAACATGGTTGTTGAAAAAGGATTGCCCACATAGCAGAAAACTTTTTCAATTGAGTTTGATGTTTCTTTTGGGATGGATCTCTGTCCAATTCCATTGTCAGAAGGGTGGGCAACAAGCTGGGGGCATGTTGCGTGCTTGCCAGCTTCAAATTTCTGGCTGAAGCCTGTTGCACTACCAAATCCGGGACTTGTTTGTAACATTTACCAAAAAAACAGCTGGCCCCAACACAACAAGTTCACCAGCAACTCTGGCCTCCCAAACCAACAACCGGCTTCCCCACCTCCACAGACACGGCTTTCAGCTTCTCTGGTGCCTCCGGTGTGGAGGGATTGACTAGAGGAACCCCCTAGACCTGGGTGCTGAGGGGTTTGAGAAAAAAAGATATCCATCCCCTTTGGTTTCCTCGGGAAAGTCGCTATTGTGTGCTAGGCGCAATGGCTGCGCATGGCTGAGGCACCGGAATAACTTGAGACAAACACTGGTGAAAGCAACACAAGTACCGAGGCAGAAGCACGACAACTCACAAACAAACCAAGTACAAGTAATGTCTCAAACATGTAAGCTCTCCAATTGGTCGAAGAGTTTCGTGTGTCCGCTTTTTCGAGGGCGCCCTGTTCACCCCTGGTCGGAAGGGAGGCCAAAAGGAGAACCATCATTTTTGGGATCCTTGTATTTTGACGAATCTCCACCTCCTATACGTCACGGCCCTACCTCGTCTGGGGCACGTTTTGCACCTAAATCAGTATGCTACCCAACAGAATAGATCGCCCGGCCTTTGCGGCAGTCTTCTGCAAATAAAGGCAGTCGTTCATATATAAATCTTAAGTAGGGACCCGACCCTTTGGTGGACGTCATTTCCCCAGACCCCCATGAGCCATGGGCAAAAAGGCTCTCGTTTCGTCTTGTTGATGTTCAAAGGGCCCACACCTTTCCGGGGAAGAAAAAAAAAAAACGCGACAAGGGCAGCACAGGAGGCCTGGATTCACATGGGGAGCCAAGTCCACCAACCATTTCAGATGTCCAGCCATAGCTCCTGGCCAAAATCCCCCAATCCCTCTGGCCTCCGGAGGCGCGGTTGGCTTTGGCGCCTGGAGACAGTTTCTTCTTAAAGAAAAACAACAAGTAAACGAGAAGCAGGTGTGCAAACAATTGAAGGCTTGCTGAACAAAAGTTGGGGATTCTCAGTCCGGTCTTAATTCAAATGAGTATCACCACCACCATCAGAAAGAAAGACATATTTCAGCGGCGCTATGGGGCACTTCTTGATCTGTGCAGGCTCGGAGTTGCTCAATGTGGCAGCACCAGTTCAAGGCTCCCAAGACAAGGCGCCGACACAGGCACCTCAACACGGGTTCTGACCCAGGGTTGTCCTTCTGACACCTGCGAGAAGTTTGACATACCTCTAGAGGGGGGGCATCCAACTTCCGCACAAAGCTTTCGGAATCAAGAGCTGCCAACTGGGTCTTTTGACCATAGCGCAAGTTCTTCTGGAAGATCAAACTGGGTTGGTCTTCGACCTAGCGCAATAAGTTGGAGGTTTGCTGCTGAGTAGTAGAAATGGTCCCAAATGTTTGGATATCGATGTAGGTTTACCTCCATTTGCACCATGGCCCGCATGTCTGCTTCTGTTTGAGGATGTTGGCCAAACAAACACGCACGCAGGGCTGGACAGTTATTGTATTATTCTGGGTTGCTTGTCAGAAAAAGGCACTTCCCAGCCCCTGGTATGACAGGAAAGCGCTTTTTGCACCCACCCCCACATTCAACAGATAACCAACACACCCAAGAACAGTGCAAAGCAAACTCCGGTTACGCGGCGGGGCAGGGATTGAGGGTCTGTAGCAAACGCAATGTGACCCGCAGCTGCCAGGCAGCACAATTCCAATATAACATTGACACAAGACAAATATGGGTCACCTCTCGAATTGAGGAAACCCCCGCAAAATGGGTGTCGCCCTTTTGTCACTCACCCTCAACAAACAGTTACAAAAAGTTCCGCCAATAAGTAGCACTGCCTGGCAGAAATGAAACCAATTAACTATCTTGATCACTCTTATATATATATATATATATATATATTATATATATATATATTCCAGGCCGTGAACCCCCCCCCCCCCCCCCCCCTCCCCCCCTCCCCCCCCCTCAACCCCCCCCAACCCCCCCCCCCCTCCTTGTGGGGGGGTGGTGGGGTGGTGGGGTGGTGGGGTGGTGGGGTGGTGGTTCGGAGTTGGTTTAGGCTTGGTGGGTTGGTTTAGGGTTGGTTCAGGGTTGGTTTGCGGTGGGTTTTGGGTGGGTTTGGGGTTTGGGTTGATTTAGGCTTAGGGTTGGGGTTAAGGAGGGGTTGCAGGGTGGTTTGGTTTAGGGTAGGATTTTGCGAGAGGTGCTGGGGTGTTGGTTCACGGGGTGAAAGGGGGAGTCTGGGACCGAAGCTGCAGGGCTCACACGGTACTGGACAGGATCCCCAGCAATGCCAGCATCATCCCCAAGATGCAGATGATGCGGGGGAGTGGGGGGACCATACCATTGGGGGGGGGGTACGTGGCCCAGGGACTGGTACATATATATATATATATGTATGTTCCAGGCCGTGGACCCCCCCCCCCCCCCCCCAACCCCCCCCCCCCCGGTGTGGGGGTGGGGTGGGTGGTGGGGGTGGGGTGGTGGGGTGGTTGGGTGGTTGGGGTGTGGTTCGGAGTTGGTTTAGGCTTGGTGGGTTGGTTTAGGGTTGGTTCAGGGTTGGTTCAGGGTTGGTTTGCGGTGGGTTTCGGGTGGGTTTGGGGTTTGGGTTGATGTAGGCTTAGGGTTGGGGTTAAGGAGGGGTTGCAGGGTGGTTTGGTTTAGGGTAGGATGTTGCGAGAGGTGCGGGGGTGTTGGTTCACGGGGTGAAATACTGGACAGCATCCCCAGCAATGCCAGCATCATCCCCAAGATGCGGATGATGCGGGGGAGTGGGGGGACCATACCATTGGGGGGGGGGGGGGGTACGTGGCCCAGGGACTGGTACATATATGTGTACTATATGCACATGAATGTATAAAGATTCCCTGAAGTATGTCGTTCAACAACTGAGGACGACTGGCCAACGCATTTGCAAAGCCGGGTAACATAGAAAGCCTCTAGCTCCTCACCCTTCTGTTTCAACCAAAGCATCAGAACCTTACAATCACGTGGGTGACATGTCACCATGATTGAATTGACAGAAGCTGGTGCCAACCTCGAAACACGTGAAACGCCGCCCCTCGCATTCCCGCCTCTGCCGGCTTCGCCTGCTTAGGCAAACCTCTTGTGAGGTATTCCAATTACCAAGGCCCAGGTTGCTGGAAATCTTCTCGCGGCGCGCGAAGATGCTAGTCAGAAGCGGGTGCATCTCTTTTGATGGTAACCTTTGTTGTTTGTTTCTTAGGGAAACCATCTTTTCCAAAGCACAACGTCTTTGGAATCCTGAGACAATCAAACCGCTTGTTGGCAAATTTCTTAGGGCTCCGTTGTCCTTTTAAAGCCTAACATGATGATCCGAGTGAAGATAAAATGATCCTCTCAACATCAATATACCGGGCATTCAATGTGTAACGACTGCACTGCAAACTCGCTAACGCTGGGAATAACTTTATAAGCTGAAGGAAGGATCATAAGTTGCTGCAGCTGTTCCCTAGACGTCATCGTCATCCGCGCAAACATTCTGCAAACATGTTGCTGAACGTTGAGTGCCAGAAAACGACGTGTTCAACCCCTTGTGGCTGCGGCAAATTAACAGTCATGTCGTTGTTGGCACCTAGTGGACGCCAGCGTCTGAGATTTGGCCTTCTGGAACATCACGGCGTAATTGATCTTAAACTCACTTCCTGAGTAGATTGCAAAAGCAAGTCAGCACCTGGTGGTTGCCACTAAAAACGTCTGCCCACAAAGCATAAAGTCTAGGAACTGGGAATGAGTAAAGCTGTGTTGCTTCAGGCACAGGTCAAGCAAATGCGGAGAAAATATGTAAATTGCTTGCAGGACTGCTTATTGTTTGCTGATAAACAACGATTGGAGATGAGTGAAGCTGCCCTGCAAATGTGGCTCAACATTTTGCCGTGTGAAACATTGCAGTGTGGCTTGCTTGCTTGCTTGCCTGCTTGCTTGCTCGCTTGCTTGCCTGCTTTCTTGCTTGCTCGCTGGCCCTGTTTTCTCTGTAGTAAGGCGGAGTACCATTTCCGGCTTCGATATATTTGACAAATTTGCCGTGTCTTCCACCAAACTCCTCTGCCGGCTAGTAGGTCACTTCAATCTCCGTTTCTCCTGGTCCTCAAATCTGAATCAAGGTTTTTGCTTGGTGGCACATGCTCCCCTAAGTTTTAACATTTTGACACACAGCTCTACACCAATCTTTCACAGGGAAACCAAACGCCATACCGACAGGGAAGACCCATTGCTTTTTGTCTCCCAGCGCCTTGGCTTCAGCCGCTTTCTTTGCCTCACCATGGAGACAAGGTGGCCATGACTGCCATCAAAACCTCTAAATAGGTATTCAACCATGGGACTTTTGACTGGATGCTGCAAGTACTTGCAACATCTTATTGGTAGTATATCGAGGTTCTAGACAATATGGAGCTATCCATCACTTTGCGAGTGCCGTGGCACTCAGTCTTCTATCTGCCTGGTGCTTTGACCCACTTGTGTGCTCGTAGGGCGGCTCGCACTCAGGTTCTTCAAAAGGATGCACATCCAAACAAACACAGCTCCCACCACGGAAAACCTTGAACCAGCTGGTCAATAGTTGTTCGTTCAATTCATTCTTCTAGGAACTGCAAGTTTGTTGGAAACAACCCTTCTGTGATACCAGGTGGTTAAATCTCCCTTGGATTCCCTTGATTAATAATGAGATATGCTGGCCCTGCTCGGGGCAACTTTCATTTAATCATAACTCACCAAGCCTCTGCACAAAGTATTATAGTCCACCAAGTGAAAGTAAAGGAAAGCATCCCCTTCGAGAGATTGAACTTGATCTCCTTGATCTGGCTAGATTTGCGATGATTTGCGCAGGTTCGCCCGGCACCGCATCAGAATGCAAGCTACCCAATCTTCTGCTGCACATTGCTGAGCAGATAGCTAGAATTCCCAAACCGGAAGAAAAGGAACCCTTAGTAAAGGACGTTCATCGCGGGTAAGGTTGTTTTTCCCCGTTTTGTGAGCTCGTAAAACACTTCCGACGCATGATCGTTCATGTTTTCGAACGCAAACAACCATGAACACACAAAATGGCTACCTGCCTAGAATTGGACGAAGTTTAAGACTTCCTCACAGAGCAACATATACAGGTATATTATGTATACATAGACATTGTGCAGGATGACCAACTCAAAATAGTGGCAAGTGTTATTTCAAGCTCTCTAATAATAATGCGCGGTGATTCAGGCGCGAGCCGCTGTGCTTAGAATGGGCTTGGGTTCAGGGTTGCAGGGTGCCTCCTGGGTGGTTATGGGCGAGTTTAGAATGGGCTCAGGGTGGGTTAAGCGTTGGGTTAGGGGTGGTTGAAGGTTGGTTTAGGGTGGGGGGAGGGTTGGATTCGTCTGTTGTGTTGGCTTAGGATAAGTTTAGGGTTCGCGGTTGGGTACAGGTGGGTTTTTGGATGGTTTAGGGTGGGTTTCGGGTTGATTGATTTAAGGCAGGTATGGGTTTAGGGTAGGCTTTGCGTTGGTGGAGGGGCGGTCTGGGGTTGCTTTAGTGTTTTTTGCTGTTTAGGGTTGGCGCGATGCAAGGCGATTAGGGTTGGTTGAGGGTCGACTTTGTGTGGGTTTGGGGTTGGTTTAGGGTGGGATTCGGATTGAGTTAGGGGTGGCTTGGGGTTGGCTTCGGCTGGGTTTAGGGTTGCGCTAAGGTTCGCTAGGGTGGGTTCAAATTGGAATTGGGGTTGGTTTAGGGTGGGTTTAGGGTTGGGAAAGGGTGGATTTACGGTTGGTTTGGAGTAGTTTAGGGTTGGCTAGGGTTTGCCCTGGATGCGGCAAGGACTTGAGCAAGAGCCAGGACTATGACCATGATGTTGAGCGTGGCGGTGCTGCCGCGGGGTCGGAACATTCATCCTGCTGCGGCCACAACTGTGGCCAAACGGTTGTGTCAGGTTACGTCCTTGGTCCGGATCCATCTAGCATCCAGAGCGAAGCTCCATAACTCTGCCGCCCGGGTGATGCTGGCCATGCCAGGGGGGCCTACGAAGGTTTTTTCGAGCTCGCGGCGCAAGGACGTGGGCGAGGGCTGCATGCCAGGCTCTGCAAACCCAGGAGACACGCTAGAGCACACCCCTTCGCTGCAAAAAACCCGCTTTTGACAAGGCTGCTTTGCACAGCAGCTGGCCCAGGGTTGGCCCTGAGAGCAAAAAAGAAACAGCCTGAGCAAAACCGATGCAAAGTTGGCTGAAACCAGGTGCTGACCGCTTGGCCTGGATTGTCTGGATTCAAGCTCGAACATGCCAGGGGCAAAGCTATGAGGTCTAGCGTGGCGGTGCTGCCGCGGCCGATTGCGCATGATGAAACGTTTGGCAAGCTGGGACCCCCGCCTCTGCTTTGGCAGCAGCCCGCTTGGCCTCTTCAGCACAAACCAGCGGCAAACAGCGTTGCTCACAGGGTCTTGCCTTAAACGTATTTGAACCACTACTGTTTGAGCCTCCTCCTTTGGTTCGGGAGCTGGTCCAAGCAAAATTCTGCACAGCCCTGGTTGCTCTTGAAGAGTCTACGGTGTTCATCAAGTGGGATACCAAAGAACCCCGCCTTTCAGAGGAATGAAAATATTTTTTCAACTTGGGCTCCTTCGCGTCTCAAAAACCTTGGCGGCTTTCGCATCACTCGCACAGAAAGCAAATGTCTAGAGCGGACACTGTGGAAATTAGGGGCCCTCCGAAAGTGCAACTGATGTTGGATGAACCTACTTTGATTCATTGAATAGTTTCGTTCAGCAGAGTGCCATCCGATGCTGACTTTTGGCACATCCCCAAGTCGAGAGGGCATTCCCAGTCCCTCTGAAACCCTCCGGAACCCTCCGGAACCCTCCGGAAAGCTGCCCCAAACCACCCCTTATCGCCTGTCTGGGCCTCTGTCTAGGTTTCAGCTGTTGGGGAAAAAGGAAAACAGGAAGGAACCCACGGGTCTGGGTTGCTGAACCTGGAAGCTACGAAGGCAGATCTGACACGAGCCACGCCACTTCTCTCCCGCCTGTCTCGTTGGCTCCTCGTCCAACTCAATGGCCCCATCCTCAAAACTTCGCGCTGACGGGGTTTGTCAAAACGCAGCACTGCCCAAGGAACCCTTGCTCTCCTCGTCCAATGAAAAGCGAGCTGGACCAATGCCAAACTTGCCGTGCGACAATTGTACTCAGAAGCGATATCCTCCCAATTACATGGAATCAACAACAAAGGACCTGGAAGATCGTGTTCCTGCCAAAGAGATCTCATGTCTGTTTCCATGCTAGAAGGACAACAGCTTTCTGGGTTGCTCAAAACGGGGGATCCTGATTTTCCTTACCCATTATCCGTAGAAACACCACTACAAGGAAACCAGTACCGTCGTACCATCTGGCATAAGGAATGCCACGGGTCAAATAAATATCCTTTCAAGATGGGGATCGCTAGCCCCTAGTTCTGAAACGTCCCACCTGCCAGTTTTGGATCCCCCCCAAAATGCAATCAAGCCAAGTAGTAGGCAAGCAGCAACTACCAAATCAAGAATTCCTTTTCACCAACCTGCTACTGTCCAACAGTAGCACCATTTTTTCTGAGCTCTCCAAACCAGGCAAACTCACAAGTATCTTTAGTTTCCAACAATCCGGCTTTCCCTTCTTGTTTGCCTGGGGGGAAGGGGGGAGGGTGGGGGGAAAATGGTAACGGGTAACGTTCGTTGTTGACTGTATACTCGCCAGCACAATCAGCAAGTGGAGTTTCACGCAGGCCATTGGGCTCATGCAGACACTTTGGGGTAGGACATTCGTATCCATCTGCTTCATATTGCTACTTTGCTTGGCTGGACAACCCTGCGTATCATTTGCCCTGGGAGAGCACTGGCTAATTGATCCGTGGTATTTGGACCGCTTGCTGGCAGTGGCTTGGCAGGCTATCATAGGCAATCTCCCTTCGGCCTTATCGTTGCCCACTCAATTTTGAGGGTTAAACACCGAGCACGATCTTCTGCACGTGGCCTTGTTTTCTTTCTGGAAAGCAAATGGATCTTTGTTGAGGCAAACAGTTTTGTCTGCTCTGCTCGTTTTTGCAAACAGGATGGTTGGCATGGCCGCAGATATGACGTCTCAGACTTGGAAAGATGAGCACACTGCATCTTTGCATGCTGAAGTGTTTCCTGCATCTTCTGTCGCATTTGGACAGATTTCTTTTCTTTTGGCCAGTTGTGAAGAGTGTTGGGAAACCAAGGTTTATTTCAGCCTGATCTCTGCATTCAGAAATTTCTTCGAGCGCGTGAAGACAGTGTGCCGCCTGCTAGTATGTACACGAACATGGACTGGCTGAAGCTGTGAGGATAAACTCAAAGTGCTTGAGAGACTTGACATTGAAATCCCCAGCTAACCCCCCCCCATCCATGGAGCCAACATGTTGTAAATTGTTGATAGAGCTGATCAACAGATTCTCCGTTGCAACGACTCCACGCCGCACGACTGCAATCGACTGCCCCTTGGCACCCGGCGTCGCCATCTAAGTCGAGAGGATGCGTGTCCACCGCGTCGTCCACATCCACGGAAACCTATCCGCACCCGAGGGTGCAAATGAGACTTGTTTCAGCCACCCGGTCCTGGTGCCCTAGGGAAAACACAAAAGGAGGCTCTTTGAACAAAAGTTGCTTGGACATGCTTGAACAAGCTTGCCCATCCTTGTCCAGGGCTTTGGGGGCTGACAACATGCTCCCTTTCAGGCTCCAAAGGACCACGCAGTGGCGCCGAAACACCCCCCCCCCCTCGCCAAAAAAGAGCCTCATGTTTGACAACTCCGCATTGAAGGTTTCTGGTGGGCAATAACAAAACACGGGTTGTCCAACACCGCAAATCAGAAAACAACTATGTATGACGACTCCATGTTCCATCCACATGTTTCCATGTGCTTCTCCACGGCCTGTAGCAACTCGGAACTATGTCACAAGCTGTGGTGAAAAACCACAAAAAAAGATGTTGCCCTTGCAATCAATGGTTTTCTGCGGATCTCCCTTACCTCTCACCAGTCCGTATGCGTTTCCGCTCAAATCCCTGCTTGAATGCATATGCTGATAATTTGCACGACTCGTACGATTGAAGTGCTTGTCGGTCAGGCCGAAGATGGATGGTAATCTTATGTGCCCTCTGAAGTGAAGGGCTGACGATCACGACCTTCCCAGACCCCCGGTTGCTATGGGAAAAAGGGTGCGTTGAAAAAAGGCAGCAACCCGCCGCAGCACTGCAGGTGGGTCTACCATGGCAAATGTCACAGGTTTCGCGACCTGATGAAACACATATCCAGCTTTGAACGATGTCAGTTTTGAGGTGAATTGAAAAAAAACAGTAGACAAGAGAAAGAGCGAGAGACAGAGAGAGACAGAGAGAGAGAGAGAGAGAGAGAGTTGGCTTCCCTAAGCCTCCCCACAAACCCTAAGGACAGGGGTCACTGGATGACTTCAAAAGCTTCACTTTCACTTGACTGGTGGTTTCAACATTGAAAGTGCTATTTTTGAAGAAAAAACATGGAGGAAACTCCGTAAGGAGGTTTAGGGATCCCTCGCGCTCTCCACCCTTCGACCACTCCACGCACATCACGCGCCTGGGCGGACGCCGTCGGCTTCGCCGCCGTCGGCTTGGCCGCCGTCGGCTTGGCCGCCGTCGGCTTGGCCGCCGGCTTCTCCGCCCCCACCAGCCCCGTGAGCTGCACGTTGTCGCTGCTGGAGCTGCCCTAACAGGCGGATGTTGAGCCAAATGGGCCAATGGGACCTCTCAAAATAGGGGGTCCCCAAAAAAGGCCGATGTCCGTTTGGCAACATTTGAGAAACTCTAACCCTTGTGATACCAACGTGGGATTCCCATCCCTTATGACTACTTTGTCACTTAAGGGGATTACTTTGGTGTGAAGCCAATGTTTCCACAAAACATGTGCAACCGAGTAATCAGAAGCTGGTACCGGCAACCACAAATGCGCCTCCCCCTACAGCAAGTGGTTGGGTGGGATGTTCATCCCGTCTGGGTTTCGTTGTTTTTGTTATACGCGTTGTTGGGGTTCTTTGACAGCGAAAGCAAAACGACCCCCCCAAAAAATATTTTAAAAAACACATCCTCAGCCAAAATTGGTGAAAGACTCTACGAGGGAGTCTCAATGACCCAATTTTCAAGCGTCATGGAGACGGGGCGGGAACAAAAGCAAACAAAACAAAATGACACGGCGCGCCGAGTCCCAAGCTCCAAATCAGGTGGCAAGTGAGTGACAAGTGTCAAGCATCCTCTTCTTACAAACAGCTTCAAAAACACATGTCCGTCCCAAGGGGGCACTTCTGCTTACGAAGTCTCGGGCAACGAGCAAGGAGCGCACCACTGGCTCTATTGGCTCTGGGTTTTGGCTCTGGATGTGCAACGGCAGAATTCGGTAAAGGCAGAAGCTGGCCGTCCTTCCTTGCAAAATTCCAAACGGAATTCCGAAAAATCTACAAGGGAATCCCCAAAGTTGACATCTCTGCACATTCTACAACTCCAAAAACAGACACAAGTTGGACCCCCTAAGCAAAGAACCTTGCTGGTGAGCTTGTTCTTCCCCCAGGCGAGCTTGCCATGCACAAGGATAGAATTTCCTCTGCTCCCATTTGCGTCAGCGACCCTTCCCTTGAACCCCGAGATAGACCCAGGCGAATCGGACCTGCAAGGCTGAGCCCCGAAAGGTGGCAACGCGAACAAGGAAAACCGAAACCCTGCAACTACCTCAGTTGTTGACCCCAACAAAAACAAATATATTTGACTATGGTTCATAATAGCCAGTTAACAGTAAACCTGACAATGCAACAATGTGTCAAACGAGATCTCAAATTTGGTTGGCTGACTTGCGATGTTTCAATTACTCACCACACTTCCTTATGACATACTCCCCGTGATGACAATCGTAGCGACGGGTCCATGTTGTGACCATCACAGGGTTCCTCTGATTGGGTGTTAAAAAACATAACACCCAAGCACGCAAAACTCGATAAACTAATCGCCGGCAAATATTGATCCGCAGTTCTGACGCGAAAGATCGACGCAACCAGTAACATCAAGAATGCGGGACCATCCAAATATGAGGCCACTAGCAAGAGGGTGGCACTTTTAAGACAAAGGGCAGGCCTTCTTGTCCTTCTTCTTGTCTTTCTTCTTCTTCGACTTTTTCCTTGGCCACTGCTGGCTGCATAAACCAAGATCCTTGCTGTTTTGAGTCGCTTGCATTTGCTGTGTCAGCGCCCTTGCTCAGGGTGCATGTTGACCCAAATTTTATTGGAAGCTCAGAAAAAATGGTCCAAAGGCAAATCCTGACTGATGGCGAAAGACAGGCAACATCCAGCAATACCAGGCAAAACTCTTTGGTCATTTGTGTATTGACTGATATCCCACTCTAAGATGCTGGGGTTGCTGGCGAGCCCAAGCCTTAAAGAAGGCCAAAACCTGGCAAAGGCAAGTCTGTTCACAAACAAACTGCAACATGTCAAATCTATAGTTAGGCCATTACTAAGTAACTGTTGACCAGTGTTGATAGTTCCCGAATGTTCCAACATAATATGTGAACACCTTATGTACAAGAAACTGCATGCTTTTGTTGGTACTAGTGACATTGTTTCAGCATCAATTCTCATGTTTGTTTGAAGGACAAGCATAACACTGAATCAGCTTTGATTGTTCTAATTGATGAACTTATAGAACGTTTAAATGTTTATATGGTATTAGGGTTGTTCTCAGATGTTAGCAAGCGGTTCACTCTGAAAATCATCATTATATACTTATGCCATGCATATGTACATGGAATACAAGAAAACTGCTTCAACTGGTTTAGTAGCTATTTGTCTCACCGCATGCAACATATTCATTATGATGGTTTCAACTTATTTCATAAATTAACAACTTGGGCTGTTCTTATGCCTGCTGTATATTAATAACTTGGCACATGTTTCTCAAATGTTAGATTTTGTGTTATTATATGCAAACAATTATATTGTGTTTATTTCTCCCACACGTGTTGATAATGCAGTCAATACGTACTATCAATACTTAAATGCAAAGCCACAGAATGGATACACATTAATGATCCATCACTAACGTTCTACTTGCAATACACAGTGCGATGTTTGTCTCCTGTATCTTGCCTGACACCGGCTGTCCCGGCCGCCAGAAGCTTCAATGCTGCCATTTGAGTTGTCAACATTTGCCACGCCAAACAGGAGCCATGATCACACAGCCCTGCATTTTGTTGAACGTCAAAAGGCTACATGAAACTTGCTTGAAACCTCAATGACTATGGTTCAAACTTACGCCCAGCTGCTCAACAAGACAGTGAGCCTCCGCAAAGAATAGTGGATTCCCCGATATATTTCAAGCGAACCAACCACATCCAATTGCAAAGGCAAACAACGGAACCCTGTGTGCGTTGGTTCATATGGGCATGCATTTTAATTGGGGGACTTTCCGGTGGACACCGTGAACCACTTTTGAACGGGTTCCCTCTGGAAATTCGCACCCGTGGGGAACCAGCAAAAGCCTTTGCGATCCATTTTGAAAGCCACTGAAGGTCAGCCAGGGTTCCTTTAAAAGCGGCAAACGTACATCAAAAATCGCCAGACATCTTGACATCTAGATAGCAGCATATGAGCGAATCCCTCTACCTTAAGGTGGGCAGCGGAGGGTCCCCCAATTCCATTTGAACTCCAGGGGCCCCAATTCTACTTCTTAGGACTTAGGGATAGTTATGCAGACATCTACCCGACTGCGTGCGCTTCGTCTAAGCCAAATGCTCCTTCCGACGTTCCTCCTTCTCTCTTTCCATTTGCTTTCTTGCCTCAAGTCGAGGATGAAACCACAAGGCTTCTTTCACGATGGCACCCACGCGAAAGGCCTGTTTCCGATGCTTAACTCAAGGTGTCTTTGCACAGCACCTTCTCTCATTGAAAGGTTGCAAGGAAGTGCGTTGAGCATGTTGGGCGTTGAAAGAAGCAGCAACATCTCGCAAACATGCAAAACATCCGCACCCTACATTGTGTCACAGCGACCCTATTTTCGTTCAAGAGGTAAACATGGATGCATGATGATGCATGCAATGGACTCACAACGAAAACACAGGTCGACTTCCTCTCTTCAAGTGTTCAACTGGGATCAGCTCGTGAACGCCCATGACTACCTTCGAGGTTGCACCTTTGCTTCCCTCTCAGTGGCGAAGAGGAGAGATGAGGGCAAGGGGCAAATACAAAATCATTCTCAGAAATGAAGTCTGCTTAGGGGTTCGGTCTGAAACCAAACACCAACGAGTGGATCTCTCAATCTCGAGGTGTTGCGATTCAAACAAACTTCCCCTGTGGCGGCGAAAAGGACATCCACCCCAAAATCAACAGGCAGGGGTTACATGTTTAGGCCCTTGTGGAAACTAAACCATGAACAACAGCTGCTCAGGTGGAGTCTCAGATCTTTAGCTCCTTGCCTCCTTCCGCCTCTCGAGCTCCTTCTCTCTCTCCTTCTCCCTCTCACGCTCGATGTCCTCGCTCCAACGGAGCGCCCAAAAGGGTCCAGCTTTCATGAAAGGAGCTCCAAAAAGGGGCCCATAGAGGCCTCAACAAAAACTTGTTTAAATCGACTCTGTAACGTCTTTCTTTGTTCGACTGAGGCTTCTGCTTCAACGTTTCTAGAAACAGTTGCAACTCGCGGCACAAGTTGCAAGTGAATAAGTGTGCACTTGGCTTCTATCCGGTTTTTGGCACCCGCTTTCGAACGCGACTCGTTTTCGGCCGGGCGGTGGCAAGGTTACTTTCTGAGACCCACAAACCCCACTTTGAAAGATTCCCCAGATGGTACGGGTTTATTGAAGTGGGCGATGATGTCCCTCTGGTTGCCCTGTAAACACCCACCTGAAGTGGGTGCCCCCCCCTCCCCCCAATTTATGGGACGATGGATCCATTTGGTAGTTCTGGGAGGCAGCCAGCGTGACTCACAAAACTTTGCCCTACATCCTTTTGTTGGTTCCCTGTGTGTTTGGAGACTGTCCCTGGTGTAGAGGGCTTCTTTGTTTGTTTGCTTGCTTGCTTGTCTGTTTGTTTGTTTCTTCCTTTGCATGTGTGTGGAAATTCGCTTGGGAGGTTGACCCCCGTTTTGGAGGAGGTGCTGTCTTGAACCCCTCACATGGCCTTTTGGAGGTCTAAAGGAAATTCCCACATCTAACATCCTTATTAAGCAGGGCTGGTCCAAGGACCCTGCCTCTTGGATAGAACATTGGCCTATGGAAAAGGAAAACGAAGGACCCGGTACCGACTACCCTTTGGTCTTGAGGTTCGGAGCAGCCTGCTTGAGGCGTTGGTGACCCAAACCAATTTTTGTTACCTTCACAATCCTGATTAGGGTAAAGGGGGGGTGATGGCAGTGGTCTAGAATCCACGGTTGATGACCATCCCTTCTGAGTCCAGCAAAGTCACATCCAAAAAAACTAAATGTACATGGTCATGCAAAAATGGTGGTAAAAGGGACCTGCCCCAAAAGTAACTTTGCGAACCCTCAAATCCCAACCACAAGGCACCCCACTACCAACCAGAATGTTAAAGTGCTAATATGTCTGCTCTGTTCCTAGCCTTGCCAAGGCGGCTTCGACTACCCCCCCAAACCGCTACACTAAGGGAAAAAGTTGGTATACCCCCTGCTAACTTGACCAACGTTCGACACTCAACCAATGATTTAACTATGCTCTGCATTCATCATGTTGGTCAAGGATCATGATGTTAGATGGTCCCAAACATTCAGTTGCAATCAGCTAGCACATGGAACTAAATGTGGCCCACCCATTTTCTGGTTGAAACCTCCAAATGTGCTAATCGGAGCGGCATGCTAACAGATTGCTACTCACTATACCCCCAGTCAAGGGTCTTTGACGGTGACGCACATTCCAAAACATACTCAGCCAAGGGGCCCAGGCACGCTCGCGCTCTGCCCGCCGGATTTCCTCCTTCTGCCTGGGGCTTCCAGCCATGGGTCACTTCCTCCAAATACAAAAGCAATTATTGCCACAAAAACATTGTCCCCAAAAAGAGATAACAATCTGCGTTCCCCTTTTGAAGAGTACTGCCAAGCCTCTTTGAACTTCACCACAATACAAAACCGATTCCAAAGCAGATGTCCAGACTTCCCGAAACCTGCCTGTAATACTAAACCATTCAAAGGCGATATTGCTAGAACACAAAACGCTCCAACTCCAAAACGCAACTTCACGAACGTCTGTCTTTAGGGGAGCTGAGGGAGGGGAGGGGCCCTATATATGAGGTATGTAGGTTCAAGGGAGGCAAGCAGACTTTCTGACTTTGATACCGCCTTAGAGACTCTTGCAATCATGTGCCCAGTGGGGTTTCCGTTTGAGGGCACCGTCCCTGGCGCAGCGCGCCTTCTGTCTCTTTCAATCTCCTCCTCCGTGCGCGGAGCGCGCTCCATGCGCTCCTCCCGCGTGGCACTGGGAAGACACGATGGCAAAGGAAGGGAAGCGCCAACCTGCCCAAAGGAAACAGGGAAATGAAGCCGCCCGCAAAGAGTAAACATAATTTAGGAGAAACAATCTTCAGCTGCCAGCTTTGTTCTTGGGGATACTACTTGTGACCAAACGGCTTCGTTGGACACCCCCGAAGCATGTTGGTGGCCCTACCGAAAGATTTATCGATATGTTCAGAGCAACCTGGGTGCCCTCAACAGTCACACATATTCTTTGCTGATCAAATGCCCGTGGATTGGAGCCCTCTCATTTTCAATGACTGGCCAACCGCTGCAAGGCATGATATGTCCACGATTCGCAAACCCAATGCCCTTCAGTCCCTTCGTGAAACCTGTGAGTTTGTTAGAAAGACTTGAAGCCATCAGCATACAAGTAACCACAGTGCCCGCCAACTCATGTTGATGGATTCAGAACCAAACATTCAGATGCACGTTCCCAACCACGCACCGTGTCATGATGTTTAGGCAAGCCGACATGTTGCCTCAATTTGCGTGAAGCATGTGCCAGGATTGGCAGAGTCCAGCCACTCGGTGATTGATCTTCAGAGTCTTGGAGATCAATGAATAGATTGACATGAAACGCATGTCAAACCTCAGAACTCTGCAATGTGTTGCGTTATTCCCGGACTGAAGTACTGCGAGTATCACTTTGAAGTCACAGCTTGCCAGCCAGCGTCCTTCTCCCGCTCTCTTTCTCTTTCCTTCTCCTTCTCCTTTTCCCTTCTATCCCGGTCTTTCTCCCGATCACGAGATCGGTCACGGTCGCGGTCCCGATCCCGGGACCGGTCGCGGTCCCGGGACCGGCGGTCTTTGTCCTTCTCATCCTGGCAGCGGCAGGACAAAGCTTGGGAAGATTTGGACAAAGCAAAAATAGTGGCTTTCCTTTGGGATTCCCTTTAAACACAAACCAGGGGGGGCACCTCACCACCGGGATGCCAGCTAATCGACAAGAGATCAAAACACAGCCACAAGCCCAGCTCATCACGATGGTGCCAGGCAGTGATCTCATAGTCCGTCACGTGTACAAATCAAATGCAACCGTGTGCACATGTGTATATTATATATATATATGGTGTATATATATATATATTAAAGACACACACACCCGACGACATTGCCACAAGCCAACGAGAGGGCCATCGATGCCTCGTGGCTTTTGTGTGGCAACTTGGTGAGTCCCCTAATTGCCATACTCGTAACTTTGACCGAACCTCATGTGTATGTAGGGGAACCCCCCAAAATGGATGGCTTCCCTATAGTTTCCTTTTACAGCAACAAGAAAGGGGGACCATTCAATAAGCGCCCACACACACATACACAAACGGTTTGAGCCGGAGCGCCTTCTTCTCCTTTGGCGCCTCAGCTATGGCGCCCAAGACACACGAAGCATCCACGCAGGCTGACCATCTCTTAGCTCTCTGTCTCTCTCTTTACCTCTAAAGGTGACTATTTTACCAGCACGTTTTTTGAGGTATGCGTTTGAAGTTTATGCGTTTGGTCCTGCATATTGTACCACCGCTTTCTTCGAAATATGTGCCTCTGTTTGGTCGATTGGTTGCTCATGGACTCCGAACACCCTAGAACAAAAGTCGAGGGATAAAAACAAATCACCTTTTTTCCAGAGCTGTGGTGCTACATTTCGACGCGACCTAGCTTCGGGTTCTACACTGACATGGAAAATACGCAAGAACGAATGAAAAACATCTTACAAGATGGGCCGCTTGAAAAGAAAGCTTCCATGATGGGCCAGGCGCTGGTGCTTTGAACTTACATGAGGGGCGACCCGGGTCCGGGACAAAAACGGGTATTCCTTGAGTATATATGTTCCCGGCCGTGGACCCCCCCCCCTTGTGTTCTGTTTTTCAGACCATTGATCTCCCGCAACATTTGGCTCAAGGGCCCCTTTTGCATAATCACGACCATCCGAGCGTGAAGACAAAAGAGCCATTGCAGGCCGCTTACAGGATTATCCACAAGACAATCCACCAGGGACAATCCATCCTCCAATCATCCATTACTGGCATATTGGACTCTCTCCGGAATAGATTCAGGGACCAACAACGACCTCAACTACCACAGCGTTCCAGTTCCCTTCGGGGATAGGCACCTGGGTAGCGGAGCAGGTTTTCCGCAGAGATCCAGAGGAAGATGTCATCAGATGGAGAAGGCTTCATGGAAGCCTATACAAGTTCGGCAAAGCCGAGCTATACGGAGGAAACACTAAATTGATCGATGACCGCCAAGCAGCCGCCATCGTACGACGGAAAAGTCAGCTGGTTCAGGTATGAAGAACTCGTGGACGACTGGGTGACCATCACCACAGTAGAAGCAGCCAAGCGAGGTCCATTGCTTAAGAGCAGACTCACTGGAGATGCTTACATGTACAAGGCCGTCCTCCAAAATGACCTTTTGCAAGATCCTGATGAAGGAGTCAACTATTTCAAGAACACGCTGAAGAAGTACTTTTTGAAAGGTGCGACCAACGTGTATCTGTACAGACTCCTCAGTTTCTTCAACCACAGAAGGCAGAACCAAGAGTTCCTCATTTTTACCTCAAAATTCGAAATCCTTCTCATGAGATTGAAGGCAGCATGGATGGACTTGATGCCAATCTTTACGGCACAGTCTCCATCATTTCGACAGTCCGTACAGGACGCAAATGCAAGGACAATTGCTCGACATCAGCAAGCAGCCGGTGCTCGAGCACCGCCTCCAGCCCTGCTCAATGAGGACGATCCTACAGTCCTCAGACAATATATCCAAGGAATGCAGGACAGACAGCGGGACGCATTCCCCTTCGGGGATAATCTCATTGCACAGTTTTTCATCATTCAAAGTGAGTTGTCAGATGAACAAAGAGAAAGACTCACAAGTGCAATGTCATTGAGAAACATCTCACTCGAGAATTATTCCTATGAGATGCTGAAGACGCACTACCATGAACTCTTCATCACAACGAGGACATCGATCCAAGATCCATCCATCCGACCTCAAGGAGGCAACCGAAGCAACACATTCTTCATCATCGAACAAGGTGAATATGAAGAAGAAGAGGGCTTCTGGGTTGAGGATGAAGAAGGACTTGAAGGATTCATGTCAAACAACGATGAAGAGACGTTCTGGGTCCTCGAGGAGAACGATGCGTTCATAGCAAGAAAAGTGTCGGGGCGGAACTTCAAGTTCAAGAAGAGAAAAGGAAAAGGAAAATCAGGAAACAAGAAGGGCAGTCCCCAACGAGGTGGCTTCAAACCCTTCAGAAAAAGCGGTTCTGGCGGAAAGGCCAATATGGCCAACGAAAACTATGATCCCTACGACCAGGCATATTGGGGAAAAGGCAAAGGAAAGAAGGGAAAGAAAGGAAAATCAAAATTCCAATATCCCTATGATGGAAACAAAGGTTATCCATCCTATGAGAGTGGCAAAGGAAAGAGCGGACAAGAAAAGGAAAATCCAAGACGTTCGCGGCCACCGCAGAGAAGACGGAGGAGCAGCCCGCCATCCAGCAGACTGACAGAGACATGGACAGAACATTGGGATCCCATGAGACATCCAGCACAGGACAAGCGTTAATGGCATTCCATGATGCATATGAGTATCCTGGGAAAAAGGCCATCCACGAGAAGCTGATCCAATCAGATACAGTTTCAGAACACAATCTGTCCGTCACAACAAATCACAGCCTTTTGGCAACAAAGCTGATGGCGCCTGTCATCAACCCTCAGCACAACCCGACCTATGCGATTCTGGACAATGGATGTACCAGATCTATGGGCAGCTGGCATGCAATCCAGCGTTTTACCCAGGCAATCGAACCGATGAAGGACATCATCTCCTATATGAGTACATCCCGGCCGAGACCAAGTTCACTTTTGCAAACGGAGAGACCGCCAGGGTAAATTGGACCCTGCATCTTCGATATCACACAACTCCTCCGTGCAGTACCAACATCGACGTCCTTGAACAAGGAACTGTACCGATCCTTCTCAGCATCAGCCAGATGCGGAACCTCTACATGACCATCGAGCACACACCTCAATGTGATAAGATCACATGCAAGGCCTTTGGCATGAACCGTCAAGCAGTTCCAGTATCCGGTACAGGACATGCACTCGTCGATCTCGCTGGAGTTGCAAGAGTGAAGGCACACGGAGAAATTGCTCACAAGGGCCTCACCAACTATGTCTATGACGATGAAAACAGCATCAAATTTCCCTCCGGGGATCTCACCAGGAGCGAAACTGTTTGTGCAGCAAAATCATCCGAGACAAAGGAGGACCTAGCAGCTCCTAAGATCATTGGGTCTCAAAAGCAGGACCATTGGATCCTTGACAAGAAGAACAAGCAGCTCATCCGCGTGCATATCACGCCCCGAAAGGCGCTGTTCACACCAAATGGAGCCAAGGAGTGTCCAATCAATCCTGATCACATTAGCCGAGAACGTACCACGGAAATCATTGATGCATCCGCAGGTGGAGATCCAGACATTTTAGAAGACACTTGGAGACTGGCAAATAAGCCGATGATTAACCTGTGGATAGGTAAGACCATTTTCACCTTCTCGGACAATTCGCTGAAGGACGTAGAAGCAGGTTCAGGATCGGCAGCAGACAGGATCATCGACAAGAGGGGCCAGTCGACTATTGAGCCAGATCCTTTCGCACCATCCTCAGAAGAACCAACATCGCTTCCGCTTGCCCTAGGCAGAACCCACAAGCGATTGTCAAATCCAGAAGAGTTGAAGAAACTCCACCTGCAGCATCATCACATGACAACAGATCAAGTTCGATTTAGAACCCGAGCACTTCATTTGCCGAAATCAACATTCGATCTATTTGACAAGATCCGAAGTGAGTGTGAAGTTTGCCAAGTGGCGAAACATGCACCATCACGAAGCAAGACAAGCGGACTTCGAGCGGACACCTTTGGTGACATGACATTCATTGATCACTGTCAAGTTCCTCTTGGAACTGGAGAACACATCATTGTTTTTGTCATCCTGGATGGAGCAACAACATTGCTCACTGCAGAGGCAGTGACAACTACGCAAGAAGTCGAGAACATCACTGTCCTCAGGAACTATTTTGACCAGTACCACTTGCAGCCCAAATCAGTTGTCGCAGATCAAGCCTTCATGACAGATACATGGGAACATTTCTATCAGTCCCTTGACATCACTCCGATATCCTTGGGACCGAATACACCATGGCCAAATCGAGCTGAAGCAGCAGTTCGACTCCTGAAGGCACAACTCAAGATCATGCTAAGTTCCATCAAGGCAGGCACTGCACCTGCAACACTGAAGAAAGTGACCTACAGGCAACTAGTGAAGGCCGCTGCAACTGTCAGGAATCAGACCGTCACCTACGGGGGAGTAACACCATTGGAGCTCGCATTCGGAAGACGACCAGCAGATCTCATCCAACTCGATGTTGCAACACCAACTCAGTTGACGATTGACAGGAATGAAGAAGAGATGACAGCCATCCAGATCAAGCAGCTGCCAAAGCAAGCTTTCCAAGAAGCACGTCAATCCGAGGACATCCGACGAGACCTTGCTCAAAATCTCCGAATGAGTTCAAAGCCTCTTCAGGTGAAGGGCAAGGTATTTTACTGGCAGGAAGACAAGTCCAAGATTCGTTCCGATGGAAGCAAGGGAGGGATATGGCTAAAAGGAAAAGTCATTTCCATTGAAGGAGCGATGGTAGGACTTGATCTTGGGACTCGACTCATCAAGGTTAACATGACGAAGCTCAGGAAGGATGAGACCAAAACCCGGAATTGACCTTCTGTTCCCTGAAGAGCGAGAATCCTTGCAGAAGGAGCAAGGCTCCTCTGTAGATACCAAGAAAAAGGAAACATCCGCACCAGCTCCTAAGCCAAGATCCTCAGTGCCATTACGTATCGCGGGAAAAACAACTCCAAAACCTGCAGTACCTCATCCAGCAGAGAACATGTTCGTCGAGGACCTCACATCCACTCCTGAACAAGCACATTGGAATTGTGTACGTAAGGGAAAGATCCACGTTCGCGAGATCTTTGCAGGAAGTGCCAGATTCAGTCAATGCTGTGCACTATCAGGTCTTAAGGTTGGGACTCGCGTGGACATCCGCACAGGATTCGATGTAATGACATCCAAGGGACGACACATGGTCATGGAGATCATCAGGGAACAAGCACCTGATGTCATCCTTATGGCACCGGTCTGTGGACCATGGTCAAATATGCAGAACCTCCAGCAAGACCAACAAAAGGTTGGGGAAAAGCGGAGACGCTACCTTCCCATGCATGGTTGAATTTGTGGCATCCATTGCGCGTTATCAGATGAAGCACAGAAGATACTTCATTATCGAAAATCCTC